CGTACTGGAGGCCAGCAATAAGTCTCTTAGCCCCCTTGTTGAATCCACTGACGCACTTTCTGGAGAGAAATACATAAGTGTGTCTGTTCTGAAACCAATTTGAAACCAACCCTCCACCTCTTCAGAAATTCAGTATTGGAAGTGCAGGAGGATGACACAGACCTTGCCAAAAGCATCAAACAGAAGATAGTAGACTACCTCAATGACAAATACAGTGACCCAGCGACACAAGAGTTACTCGACATGGCCTCTGCCCTGGACCCAAGGTTCAATGCGTAATTTAATAATACGTAATTTATTTATTATTTTATTTATAATTTATTTTTTATTTATTACTTGTTTTTAAAAAAGTTGTGGAAGTGCACTACATTGTTGGTCTTGTTTGCCTTTATTTGTTTTATCTGTCTTAATCTGTTTTTCACTGTTCTGTTCAATAAATGCAACATATTTCCAAAGTCAATGAGTAATCGTGTAAAATAATCGTGATTTCAATCATGACCAAAATAATCGTGATTATGATTTTTTTCCATAATCGAGCAGCCCTACTTCCAGCTTATCTTTGCACCTTTTTCTGTCTTAGCTCTGGTGGTTACCAGCTGTGCTCTTCGAAGTGGTTACTTTTTAATGTACCTCAATTTTTTACAGATCTGGGGAAAACTATATTTTCCTATTATGTATCTTGGTCATGGAATAACTTGCAGAAAGCTCTAATGTTAGACACATTCATATTTATTGTAGAATTTAAGGACATAAATCAGCTGATCTAAGATATTTCCTTATTTTTCAGGGTAACGAGGATCTCTTAAAAAACATCTTTATATAGCTACAGTTATTGTAGACTGAAGATTGTAAATCATGCCGTTTTTTTTCCCAAAACTGGGCAAAGGAGAGAGAAATTCTCAGCTAAAATTGGAGGCTTGCCTTTAAAGTGGGATGGTGATGCCCTCCAGCATGTCGAGTAATCACCTTGCATGGTATTATAGCTGCTGCTTCCTGCTTCTGCGGTAACCGTACTCATTTCCTGTTTTCTGTGCCTGCAGTGCGTTTGTACTTGCTCCCAGATTGTTTAGGAATTAAACTTACTGTTTCTAGGTTCATCTGAATTTTTGAGTAACAACATGCTCTTGCACCACTTAAGCCGGGATCTCAGACAGGTGGCTGGGTGACAGTTTGCAAGAGTCGTAGCTCCAAACGAATGTCCACGGAGCATCACCTGCCTGTTCACGTTTCAAATCGATTTTCCCCACTCAGCGACACACCCGCTGAGAAA